ACATGGAAAGTTCGGACAATGTGGGAGATCGGGAGGATCATTCAAACAGCAACGGAAATGAGGAGCAGTACTCGGGACCAGTACTCGAAACCCATTGGACCGAAGCTGGACATCAAAGGTTAGATAAGTCAGAGATGCTTCTGTACTCTATTCACGAAGGAGAAAATGCAATACATAATCAGTGAGTTGCTCTGATTTCATTCAAAGAAGCACGTAGAGCATTTGTGGGACGAGAATCTTACGGAACCAGAGTCATCAAAGTATCGTTTAAAACAACGGAGGGAATCATGATGAATGCCATCCAGTATTATACAACCACCAATGATGGTAGCAACGACAATAAGGATCAGTTCTATGAGTGGCCGCAATCAATCATAGCTAAGTGCCCGAAAAACGACTTCACCATCCTGAGGGGAGATATAAACTCCAAAGCCGGAATGGACAACACTGGATATCAATATATCATGAGACGACATGGACTGAAGGAGAGAAACGAAAGTGGGGAGAGATTTGCAAATCTATACGCATTCAACAAATTTGTTATAAGCGGCACAATATTCCCACACAGATGAACACACAAAGCAACATGGATCTCACTGTACTGCACTGTGGAGAACACGATAGATCATATTTGTATCAACAAAAAATTCCGAGGGACAATGTGGGACACAAGATCCAGGAGAGGAGCTGACATAGCTTCAGATGAACACCTAGTTGTGGCCAAGACGTGTCTGAAGCTAAAGGATAATTGGACAATTGCGGAAACAGCACTAAAAAAGTTCAACACAACCTTCCTTCGAGATACTGACAAACAACGAATTCAAAATAACTTTCAACAAGAGCTTTACATGACCTACTCAAAGCATTGACTTTGAAGTGTCAGATTATACTACATAGCAACAAGTATCTTCAAAAGGAATGTATCTTAACGGAAACCAATATCACGATTCAAGAAAGGGAGAACGAGAAGACAGCAATTAACAGCAGCCAAACAAGAACAGAGAAAGTCAAGGCACAAGCTGAATAAACAGAAGCAAACAAGCAAGCGAAGAAGAGCATTAGAGCTGACAAGCAGAAACACATCGAAGAACTAGTAATGACAGAGGGAAAAGCTGCAAGAGAAGGAAATATGAAACGTTTATATAAAACAATGAAGAGGCTCACAGAGAAATATTGTAAACCAGAGAGATTATTCAAAGACAAAGAAGGCAAGCCAATCACTGGAATTTAAGAACAACCGGACAATTGCGTAGAGGACTTTGAAGAACTCTTGAACAGACCAGTCTCGCTGAACCCACTGGACATTGAAGCAGCACACACAGACATTCCTATAGATATCACTCCACCAACGATGGATGGCTATTAGACAAATGAAGAGTGGGAAAGCAGCAACCTGACTAAACCAGCTGGAGCACTGAAATCAGATGCACTACTATCGGTACTAGGAAAAGCTCTCAACAGTGTTGTTGAGCCAGATGAAAGGTTCAGTAGGCGCCCGACTTCGAGATCAACAGACCGGATTCACTAAGGATCGGTTGTGTACAGACCGAATCGCAACACTACGGATCATCGTTGAACAATCAATTGAATGGAATTCGTCACTATACACCAACTTCGTTGACTTTGAGAAAGTATTTGACAGTGTGGATAGAGGAACCTTCTCTAACACTATGGTGTACCTGAGAAAACCGTCAACATCATGAGAAATTCATACGACGGACTACACTGCAAAGCCGTGCATGGAGGACAGCTGACAGACTCATTCCAAGTGAAAATCGGTGTTAGACAAGGCTGCTCACTCTCTCTCTCTTTTCCTTTCATCTGGTGGTCGACTGGATTATGAAGACCTCCGCATCTCAGGGAAAGCACGGAATACAATGGAGAGCTTGGATGTGGCTACATGATTTGTTCTTTGCAGATGACCTAGCTCTTCTATCCCATACACACCAACAAATGCAGATGAAGACAACTAGTATAGCAGCAGCCTCTGAATCCTTAAACCTTAACATACATAAGGGAAAAAACCAAGATCCCCAAATACAACACGGAGAACACCAACCTAGTCACACTTGATGGAGCTCTGGAAGAGGTGAAGACGTTCGTGTTACTGGGCAGTTTCATTGGTAAACAAGGAGGATCTGATACAGAAGTAAATGAGAGGACTGACGAAACAAGAGCAGAATTCCTACAGTTGAAGAACATATGTAACTCGAAACAATTGGCAGCTAACAACAAAGTCAGAATCTTCAATACGAACGTCAAGATAGTTCAACTGTACGGAGCTGAAACTTGGAGAAATACTACAGCCATCATCAACAAAGTACAAGTATTTGTAAACAATTGTCTACGCAAGATACTCAATGTTTGTTTGCCGGATGCCATCAGCAACAGCCACTGTGTGTGTGTGAGAGAGAGAGAGAGAAAGAGAGCAAACCAGCAATCAGCTAAAGTGGAAATCAGGTAAACACACTTGTAGCGGATAGGTGACACACTGCGGAAATCATCAAACTGCATCACGAGGCAAGCCCTAACTTGGAATCCCAAAGGGAAACGAAAAAGCTGAAGACTGGAGAACATATTGGGCTGCGAACTGGAAGCAGACATCCGAAGGATGAATAGCAACTGGAAATAACTGGAAAGTATTTCCCAGGACAGAGTAAGATAGAGAATGCTGGTATGCAGCCTATGCACCTCTACGAGGGGTGACAGGCGTACATTAGTAGGTACAACTCCTAATTATTCTGTCCTTAATAGCTACCAAGTAGACAATTATTGTCACTTTACAACCTTTTCGCCAGCCGATTATTACATAAATTCCTTTTAATATATGATTCTTAATTCTTGACAATACACCACGTCAGGTATTTTAAACATTTAGCACCATTCTATATTACTATAAAATACTGTTTTAGCAAATAAAACTATACTGTGCAGCTTAAGTAAGTGGAATCGTTAAAAAGAAAATTCTACTCGCTGAATTGTCTTCTTTGTTCTTCAATGACACAATGTGTCTCTCTCGTTATTGTTAAAAGTTGTTTTCAGTCAATAAATCATCATACTTTTCTTTCGAAAGTGGGTTAAAAAATATTTCTTAATGTTTAAAAGAGATCACTGTCTATTCTATACGCAACACAGAATCATTTCTAACTGACACAAGAAAAAACGAAATAATACTAACTATTCCATTTAATTTTGTGATGGAAATTGAGGAACAGTGTATCTGTCTGCATCACACAATCACAGAAAGTCAGATATTATTGCAGTGGTTCGACATATTATTTTGAACCAGGAAGATGAAATCAGTCAGTCAGTCATAATCACTGCAAAGCCTGGAGCAAATATTCACCAACATAAGTTGTCACACTGTGTCAGCATAACGACAAAAATGGAGACAGAAATTAAAGGTGGATGTGAAGAAATAATGGAAGTAAAGACCTAAAGAAGGATAAAGAGGGGATGTACTTGGACAATTGTAAAGGACTCCAATCCATGCCACCCAATGTCTTCAACCAGTACTCGTAACAAGAGTAAATTCGTGAGTAATGGCGTGTATCTGTTCATGCAGAAATATATTATTATTTATTGTATTTTAGCTTCAAGATCGATCTGTAAAAGCGTACTGGAGCCACGAACTTTGAACTTTGTTCTCCCTTAATTTTAAGCTGCCGTCAAAATCCTTTATCGATACTTTCGAACCGTATTTAGGTTCTCCTATCGGCGGATAGCTAAGCCTCAGCTGAAATTGTAGTCGTCAAATTTAACTGAGAGTACATGTTTCCAATTTCTCCTGATTTATTCCTTTTTTCCTTGACGTTGCAATGTAGGAAATTATGTGTGTTTGAAAAAAAAGACTCTGGGTTTAAAATGATCTGTTCTACGATCGGAATAAAAAACTGTTCAACCACTAGTCTTGCTTCTTGAATGGGCAAAACGAGGGGGATATCTACCTGCATAAAACCTCTACAGGATTACATGCATTCAAGGTTACAAAAAGATCACTCTTTAAAGTGTGCTGGAAAGTTGTTCAGGAACTTCACGTCTCCGTTTTCTGCCAGTACAGCGTGCCTCGTTAGCGGCGTCTCAGCCTCAGTGTTCTACATCATGGCATGCTGACCAAATTCAGCCGACAGTAACGTGTACTCCATTCGGCATTTTAAAGTTGTCTTCACGATCAAAGTCGGGTCTTTTGTGGCCCGTAGTTCTCGACTCCATTTAGAGCGTACGAATGTTTTTATTAACCTTTTCTCGCATATCATCGTCGACTTGAATCGCGTTGGTCAATAACGGAATTAAATAAGTCGAATAACGAGAATTGACTTGTGAATACATATATTTTGTACATGAAGCGAATGAAACAGAGCAAAGCAAAATGACACGCAGGGAAGATGGCTGGGAAGCCAACTCCATTTTAGTCAAGCGTTACTCAATATTTATAGTCAGACAAAATAAAGCTACAGACATGCAGTGAGTCATGGGATATGAAGTGTACACACATATACGCTCATATAAAAACAGTCAAGACTGATAAGCGAATAATTGACAAGGTCAACATATGACTCAAGTAGAATGAATAGAATGGAATGTCCGAAAGCTAGAATAAGATACATGGGCTTAAAATAATGACTGACACTACAGGTCCCACAACATCTGATGTGTCTAGGAAGGTCACTCCTAGAGTTGTACTAGTAGGTTTCAAGTCTTCTTTTCATTCGGAAACCCGAAAATACGTGAAATGCCTAATTTTCAGGTTTTCTAGTTCCATAAAGGCATGCATAGGATAGGAAAATGACTGACTGAGAGATCAGAATGTTTTTTTGGATAGATTTTTGTCGACCATTCAAGGTCGTCCGTTAGTACTTTTCTAAAAAAGCTTCAACATATGCTTCAGTTCTCCTCCAATAGCTTGTATCGTCCTTTTGGAATTAGGACTGTCTTCGTTTATACCTGTTAGAGGCTGTTACATACGTAGATACTTTTTGATTCGGCTATATCTCAATTCAATGGTCCTGAAGCCTTATGATAAAAGTGAAATCGATAATGAACGATTATTATCAGTTGCGTCCTGTATAATTAGAGGTAAGTCTATAAGAGGAGCATAAAACTGGAAACCATACATTTATAACGGATATTGTGAGCGATTTTATCTGTTTGATGCATATTATTGGATTATATTCGTAAAGTAAGTAGGTTAATCTACTTATGTGATCTCGTCGTTCAGTTACTATATTTATCCACGTTTATTTAACTATAAGTCATACTAATACTTGTCGGAATGATAATCCATCTTTAAGTAGTTTTCTTTGGTAAATCCATTCACTGGCATGATACGATCACCAATAATGTCAAGCATATACCTTATGATCAATGGTTTAGTACATTGTTCAGTCGCTTGTAGGCCCTAGATTAAACATCAGTAAATATCAATAATTGGTGTACGGTACTTGAGTGGGGACTCACGTATCTTTTGTCAAGTCTTAACTCGTCTTCATACGTCGTTTTCCTAACAAATAACGTGTGTAAAGAAGTTTAGACTTGTACTTATTCCTTTATGGGATTATTCTTTTTCAGTATCTCAATGCAAAGACATTGGAGAAAATTGATCACTGTAATTAGCCAGCATTTCTGAAAGATTGCCTATTAACTTTAATGTGGTTATGGGCTCACTTAAACTTTAATTAGATATGAAAGTACCTATATGATCCCGGAATCAGTCAGTCAGCTACAACATATGACCAGGCACATATGCTTATTAGTCTGATTTGCCACACTTCATTAGCACAACAAGATGAACACCAAATTCATAGTAGTTACTTCAATGGTAGTAATATATAAAAGAGTGTGAGTATAAGGATATAAAACAGGAAAGAAGAATTAGTTCGTAGAAAGAAAGGTATAAAGTTATTCTAGCCTCACGGTTTGGGGCAAAACAAAGAATGTATACACCGACGCCATTGTGACCGATTCTGAGCCATGTCACCCAGAGTCTCCAACCATTGGTTACGATATTCACGTGAACCCCAACCAAGTAGTCTGCATCTATCAACATGGTCTAGAATAGCTTACAATCTTTAGTTAAGTACCAAACGACTTCATCGTCAGTGAAGATATATGGGTGCTTTATAATTCGAATTTACTAGCTTGATATATTTTGAAGTTGTGTTATATTGGTGGGCCATTACCATATATGTATTCAGTCATATAAATACGTAGAACATAATTGTATGCTGTTCTGTAAGTTCACTCTGCACCAGCTACATAGGTGTGGTAAATTATTCCAGTTTGAATTTTTGTAACAGGATTTTTAACAGTGCTCAACGTTAATGTGTAGAACCGATGATAAATAGGGAAAATTTCATGATTACAAAAATTGTGATGCAGCTTTTATGATGAAGTGTTGAGAGTGGTAATTGTAAATTAGGTAACCGCACGCTTGTCCGTATTTGAACAAGGTATTAATGTATGGTCGATTAGTAAGATTTCCTCCCATGTATTTTAAAAATTTTCAATACATCGTAAGTTTCTCATTTCCGATTCTTGAAGAGTACTATATTTACCTATTGGTATATGTAAAGCATTTTGTCTGGTTGTTAAGCATACCTTGAAGTTAAAGACCGAATTTATCCTGCCGTGTTATTCACAAACTATTATTCTATTGACGAGGACGTAATCATTATTGCCTCCCGCTGTCAACTGTGTTATTCGATACTTCTTATATTTACATTATTACATGATTTTCCTTCTCCATTTTGTGCCAAAGACTGACATGTCATTTTATATAGTTCAGTTCTAGCTACATCATTACTTCAAGTGTAATTTGTGAAAAAAGCAATAAATATACAAAATTTAATTAGGTGAATAAAATGTACAGACAAATAGCTTTCAAGCTAACTATAAATAAAGAGTACTTGGGTTCTGATCATAAACAATTGTCGTATAGAGAACCCAATATCAATATTATGACAATAAATAACACCGTTTAGGATGGATTTGAAGTGTCAAAAATGCCATGAATAACCTTCCATTTTGACAGGTCTTTGAATACGTAGTGTGACGAATAAATTTGTTGTTTAACAGTCGTAGTTGACAAAGTCTACAATTTCTTTCAGACGTTTTATAAAATCTTTTAAATTAGGTAAACCTTACTTCAAAGTTTTAACCCTGAACCTTTATCTGCGGCTCTCGTACAGTGGTTGTTCAGACAACCATAGTGTTCTTATGTTGTGATTATTTCAGAATATTGATTGACAGTCAACTTAGTGTTATGTATGTTGATTAAATTAACACTGATCATCTGCTAAGCAAAAAATATTTTTCTCTAGTGCTGCTCTAGTTTTATTGATTTGATTTGTGCATTCTATTCTGTTTTTATTTTAATTAACTCACTCACAAGATACTTGGATGCAGGCCACGAACTGTAGTGGCTAATAATACGGCCCGGTTGCAAGTACTCTTTATTTATAGTTAGCTTGAAAGCTATTTGTCTGTACATTTTATTCACCTAATTAAATTTTGTATATTTATTGCTTTTTTCACAAATTACACTTGAAGTAATGATGTAGCTAGAACTGAACTATATAAAATGACATGTCAGTCTTTGGCACAAAATGGAGAAGGAAAATCATGTAATAATGTAAATATAAGAAGTATCGAATAACACAGTTGACAGCGGGAGGCAATAATGATTACGTCCTCGTCAATAGAATAATAGTTTGTGAATAACACGGCAGGATAAATTCGGTCTTTAACTTCAAGGTATGCTTAACAACCAGACAAAATGCTTTACATATACCAATAGGTAAATATAGTACTCTTCAAGAATCGGAAATGAGAAACTTACGATGTATTGAAAATTTTTAAAATACATGGGAGGAAATCTTACTAATCGACCATACATTAATACCTTGTTCTAGTACGGACAAGCGTCCGGATTTTCTGGTTTGTCAGTGATCCTTGCCAAACAGTAAATTTTGTAGTGGTTTCGTTTAGGCGTGCTCGCCTGTTGAGTGCTCAAAATTTCGGTGTTATTTTAGTATTGTCAACAGATGTAGTCTATTTGTTACATTTAGATGAACTATCGCCAGATGATAGGTGTTTTCCGGATAACTATTTTTCGGATCATTCTTAATCACAAGAGGTCGTACAGTTGATACTTAAGTTTTTTTTCACTTAGATTCTATCTGATCATGCTGGAACAACTGGCGATTCCATCCGCTGAATACTATATTTTTAAGACAATCAACTCACTATTGTTGTTTAAGGATTCATTTGATTGAATATTATGGCAGATTTAACTTGTCCTACTGTAATAGATGCACATATCAAAATTGATTTCGTTCATGTTTTAGAATCCCATTTAAAATATGTCACACTGCTTAACAAGTAGGTAAGATGGAAAACTTGAGAAAAGTCAGTGATGTAAATTACAACAGACGAGAGAATTAGGCTAGCCATCAGACTTGTCGTGGGAATGATTGGGACCGGTTATTATTTATTTGTTTATTTGAACACGTAAATATTAGTGCAAAGGAGCACCGAATACATAGGCGCCACACAAATCACTTAACTTGTGCGTGAGCTGTGATACTGCAGGGTGCCCAGAGCGAAGCAGGTGGTTTTCTTAGGGGGTCACATTCCAAGCCTTCGACCTAAAGGTCTGATCCATAGGGCAGTGAAGCAACGTCAGGAGATGCAGTCACATGGTAGTCGATGGCCAATAATTGGTTCATACGCCATTTGTTCCCTTGGGATCTTGGAGCCCATGTGAACCATTGGTTTGGAATCAGGGTTTTCCAACTCCTCTAGGTGAACCCTCTTTATCCATCAACTCGGTTTATTTTCTGGACATTCGCTTCTCATCCTCCCAATTTCGTAAACAACACCCTCGTCGCGAGAAGGCAGTAAGTAAGACTTATCTGGCAGTTGTTGTGTGCACATGGCCATGTGAGAGCATTTCGAGATGAAGAGCGGACTCGCCTCACCTTCGGCCGTACCAGCGCACTTGGGAAATTGTTATAAATACGAAAGTAATTAGCGAAAGCATTGAATTAATGTCCTAGTAAACGCCACTGTGAATACGTAAGAAACTTTAGGTAAAGTACTTTTATTTAAAGAACACAATAAAACTAATGTTATTAAGTGCGAGAAAACAATGCAACTCAGTGCACTTAAAATACTTTTGTTTGCGTTTATATCCAGTAAGGGATAAACTGTTATCGTTTAGTATTTGTTTAATATTTAAATTTAAAGATTACGGAAACGAGCGCTCTTTATCAATCTCCAGAACACATATATTCTCACAGGAGTATACTTTTTCACTACTATGTTTTTAAGTACCATTTAACAACTCATAGAAATATGTGCTCGGTTAAAAAAATATAGCTTACTTTCGATTGTTTTTAAATAATATTTACTTCATAAACGGTTAAGTTTAGACGAGTAATCTTTGCGGTTGTCTCGTGTTTAGAACATGAAACTGTTATTAATGGATTTTTGCTTCACGTTATGGTAGGTAATCATGCAATCATCAAATTTTAAATTTGATTAACATTGTGAATGGTGATTGTTTGATTGTGGCAATAAAAGCATTGCATTTTGTTTCAAAATTTTGTTTGTGTTAAACTTTTTAACACAATAATTAAACGCTATTATGAACCTCTACGTTAGTCAGAGTCTGTTGAATTAGAAACGTCATACACAGTTCGGTCATATTAACAGAATATCTTAACTACTAATGCCTGTCTTTGAAGAGTTCACATAGGGTGTTATTTGACTATTATCATTTTCTTAACTTGTTTGCCTCAAATGAGGCCCAATAATATACACAACCTTATATATCTTTATACGTCAATAAAGTTTCTAAACGTCGAGGATAGAAAACTCAAATATATATATATATATATATATATATATATATATATATAACATTTTCCTTACTGAAGCAAAATGAATCAAGCGTTTGTAATGCTTCGAATTCCGAACGCGTTTTCTTACTTTTATATGTCATTCGACTTCCAGCTGTCATATCTCTTTATTTTTCCTTCTACATACTTCTTAAAATGGCGTCGACATTTTTAATGAGTCAATGACCAGAGTTCTATTTTTCTTTACTCCTGTAATATGTGTTGATATTTTAGAGTGATTGGCAGACAATCTGAGCTTTATGATAGGTAGTGAGTTGCTTACTATGTATAGGAAATATATCGGATACCTCTGTTTCTACATTTCTGATGACAATTAAACATATGAAGTCAGCAAACCACAAATAAGGTCACCAGAACAAACTGATCCAAGAGTCATGGAATAGTTTAAAGCTCATATCAGTATAAAATAGAATCTAATGAAGTTTTGGAAAAAGACAATAAACGCTTCGCAACTAAATCATCTTTCTTAGTGAACTTGATAATGCTAAAATCTCGCAAATTTCATGCGCGACTTAGGTTGACAGACGATAGTCCAGCCTTCTGTGTCCTTGCCAAAATCTTGGGGATGATCAGGTTACCGCTAGTTATTGAATTCAACATTTAGAAAACGTTTGGGTTCACAGCAAACTAAACATTTTGTTTTATTAAAAATATGCTAAATAAACAAAATTTCCTCAAATAATTCTACTTACAGGATGTTAAAGCTTTTATGTCTTTTTAGCTTCTTTGTTTATCATTTTAAGCAGCCGTAAAGGAAATACGAGCAAGCAAAATTTTTTGTTTCTTAACAGAACCAATGGTTTGGATTGGTCTTCTTTTTAAAGTCGTCCAGATAAAGGTTCTGACATTATTATGATGAATATAAATACCTATATTTCAAAGGTATCCTATTTTCTCTCTGATACCTGCAAAAGTTTTTGTATCGCTTTAAGTTGTCACATCATCAGTTAGAATTAATAATCTGATGTTTAGTTTACATCATCTCCAAAAATTTGTTTTCTGTTATGTTTCTGTTTCTTTTAGATCGTCTTTATTTCCTGTCTTGCAAAACTCCACCAAGAAGTAATTCTTCCATTCACTTCTTTTCCATTGATGAAGAATTATGCTATGAAAAGTATGTTGTAGTTTAAGTTAATCATATTACTATTATCACTTATTATTATTATTATTATCCATTTTTGTCAGTTTTTATGCAGATTTCGGTCCACTGAGTCTTGGTCAACTATACAAATACTGTAATAAACTGAACAAAAAGCTCAAGGTAACAATTATTGAAAAGCTTTCATTATTCTTGTCTTTTCTTTATATTAGTCTGGTAGTTTAAAAGAAAAGAAAATTGCACACTTTACATCACATGACTCACGTAAACGAGCGAATGCTGCATTTCTCATTGGAAGTTATCAGGTACACATTGAAATTCGAAAAAAGATATATATACATATTTGTATATAACTTACTAGATCATATATTTGGGACGCACACCAGAAGAAGCGTATAAAAATTTAACTTTAAATGATAATCGACCATTTCTCCCTTTTCGGTAAGTCTATAAAAGAGGTGGATTTTGCACAGTATGATGGGTACTACGGATATATATATATATATATATATATATATATATATATATATATATATATATATATATATATATATATATATATATATATATATATATATATATATATATATATATATATGCAAACTTAGGACTAAGTATTGCGGTTAGAAAATTGAAGTTAGAGATAGGAATTAAGGTTGATATTTAGAGTTAGAACGGTGGAATACATTGTAGCCATGTAGATTCATGCTTCTAAAAATAGTTTTTGAATCCAGTCGTGAAATGTGCATATATATTTGCTTGTGTACATAGCTGTAAAGTTTATCAACATCAATTAACACATAAACACACCAAATTACAGAAGTTTTACAAGTTATCGGTATTTAACAGATGGGTCAATTCAGTAAAATTAACGTGAATTCGTGTGCTGTTACTGCCCGATGTGCAATGTTTTATGGTGTAGAAATAGGTTGGGAGAAAGCTAAGGGCGGCCAAACCAAAATATGGCACAAATCCATGAAGTCACTGACAAGTAGACTGAACCATGTTGGTAGGTGTAGACTACCCGGTTGGGATCCGTGAGATGATAGCAACCGATGGTTACAGACCTTGAATGACATGGTTCAAAATCGTTTGCAATGGCGCAGGTGCATCTTCTCTTTGTGTTCTCCCAAATTCTAATCTCCTGATTTCTTCATGTCCTTTTTTCCTCTTTCCAAATTTATTTCACTAGATTATACTCCTTGAATATCATATTTAAACACTAATGTTTTCCATTACTGCTTATACTCTTACTACCTCTACCACTATGGGATTTGAATAGAAAATTGTATCACTGTGCTAATGTGGTATGGCAACTCGGACTGATGTACATACGTACAAAGTTCTACATTGTTACTGACTGACTGAACGTGAATTCGTCATTTAATGATTGAAAGTTAATAATTCAGAACAATAAGCACTGTACCTAAAATGAATTTTAACTAAACTTCTAAAACACTTGTGAGATTTGTGATCATTAGGATTACTTAGAGGGAACATTCATGATTTGTAGTGCTTACATTTTATACGGTCAGTTCGTTGGCTATAAAATAGTCCTTTCGTGTTGTCGAGGCTTGTACACTTAGACTTGTTAACTAATCTTAACATTACACTGTTTTGTTTATGGCTTTTTGTCTGATAAAAAGATGCTTATTTTCTTACTACTAAGTCAGTTGAACGTAGAAAGATGATCAGATTGATATCTAGTTAGGAATTAAGCGTGACATTTTATTTAGTTGTATGTTGAATATTTAGTTCAGAAACGGATGACTTAAGATCAATAACCGAGTATATTTTATCTTCATACATTAATTAATCAATTACATTCAAATGAACACCGATTAAACACTTGAGTACTGAATACAGCCATTCATTTAAATTCTCAGGGTAATTTTGATAAATAATAAATGCTAAAATTCGAGAAAAAAACGATAATAAACTGGAAGTTCTTTCTGAATTGAGATCAATTTTTTCTAAAAAAAAATAGTTTTTTACAGACTCATTTCTTTAAATTAGATGTCATTTAGACTTTTGAAACATGGTATGCAGCTAATGTGTTAAATGTTTCTCCTTGAAAATTTTACCGTATATTTCACATAAGATACATGACTAAAACGTATGATATTAATAAGAATTTGTTGTTGTTGAAAAAACTGTATTATATATGTCATTTATCAAATATAAAGTTGTAGATTGTCATAAAGAAAGATGATCAGTCAGAAAAAATTATCACAACCGGGTATACTAATATTGAAAAATGAAAAATTGACTTAGTTTCACTTCAAACTGGTGTTACCGTCATATGAACAGCTAAAAAATAAGTGCATTTGTTAAAAAAGTACAAAATTACCTGGTGATTATTATTGTGCTAGCATCGCACACATCCATATATATATATATATATATATATATATATATATATATATATATAGTCCTCCCGGTGTAACTCTAGCTGTGAAATATGGTCTATGAACCTAAAAGTCATGGGTAGGACATATAGTTTTCATAGTAGGTGTCTTCGAACATATCGCTCGCGTATCGTTAAATGTTGATGTTAAACTCGGTATTGCACAGTGTTGGGAAATCGGTTGGTTAGGTTGTATGTCTTTATCGATTGAGGTGGTTAAAACATGCTTTAAGTATGCCTAACCACCCCTACCTCAACATGAGGTGTTTGTTGGTGTACGAGCGAATTGAAAGATAGCCCACAGCGACCAAACAAGTACTTTTCATCAGTCTTTGGAGTCACCAACTATTGGTCTTGGTCATGTTGGTAGTACAAAATATCTGGTTGAGGTCCATGTGGTAATCATTACGAGTAGTGGTTGAAGACATTGGGTGGCATGGATTGGAGTCCTTTACAATTGTCCAAGTACATCCCCTCTTTATCCTTCTTTAGGTCTTTACTTCCATTATTTCTTCACATCCACCTTTAATTTCTGTCTCCATTTTTGTCGTTATGCTGACACTGTGTGACAACTTATGTTGGTGAATATTTGCTCCAGGCTTTGCAGTGATTATGACTGACTGACTGATTTCATCTTCCTGGTTCAAAATAATATGTCGAACCACTGCAATAATATCTGACTTTCTGTGATTGTGTGATGCAGACAGATACACTGTTCCTCAATTTCCATCACAAAATTAAATGGAATAGTTAGTATTATTTCGTTTTTTCTTGTGTCAGTTAGAAATGATTCTGTGTTGCGTATAGAATAGACAGTGATCTCTTTTAAACATTAAGAAATATTTTTTAACCCACTTTCGAAAGAAAAGTATGATGATTTATTGACTGAAAACAACTTTTAACAATAACGAGAGAGACACATTGTGTCATTGAAGAACAAAGAAGACAATTCAGCGAGTAGAATTTTCTTTTTAACGATTCCACTTACTTAAGCTGCACAGTATAGTTTTATTTGCTAAAACAGTATTTTATAGTAATATAGAATGGTGCTAAATGTTTAAAATACCTGACGTGGTGTATTGTCAAGAATTAAGAATCATATATTAAAAGGAATTTATGTAATAATCGGCTGGCGAAAAGGTTGTAAAGTGACAATAATTGTCTACTTGGTAGCTATTAAGGACAGAATAATTAGGAGTTGTACCTACTAATGTACGCCTGTCACCCCTCGTAGAGGTGCATAGGCTGCATACCAGCATTCTCTATCTTACTCTGTCCTGGGAAATACTTTCCAGTTATTTCCAGTTGTTATTCATCCTTCGGATGTCTGCTTCCAGTTCGCAGCCCAATATGTTCTCCAGTCTTCAGCTTTTACGTTTCCCTTTGGGATTCCAAGTTAGGGCTTGCCTCGTGATGCAGTTTGATGATTTCCGCAGTGTGTCACCTATCCGCTACAAGTGTGTTTACCTGATTTCCACTTTAGCTGAATGCTGGTTTGCTCTCTTTCTCTCTCTCTCTCTCACACACACACACAGTGGCTGTTGCTGATGGCATCCGGCCAACAAACATTGAGTATCTTGCGTAGACAATTGTTTACAAATACTTGTACTTTGTTGATGATGGCTGTAGTATTTCTCCAAGTTTCAGCTCCGTACATTTGAACTATCTTGACGTTCGTATTGAAGATTCTGACTTTGTTGTTAGCTGCCAATTGTTTCGAGTTACATATGTTCTTCAACTGTAGGAATTCTGCTCTTGTTTCGTCAGTCCTCTCATTTACTTCTGTATCAGATCCTCCTTGTTTACCAATGAAACTGCCCAGTAACACGAACGTCTTCACCTCTTCCAGAGCTCCATCAAGTGTGACTAGGTTGGTGTTCTCCGTGTTGTATTTGGGGATCTTGGTTTTTTCCCTTATGTATGTTAAGGTTTAAGGATTCAGAGGCTGCTGCTATACTAGTTGTCTTCATCTGCATTTGTTGGTGTGTATGGGATAGAAGAGCTAGGTCATCTGCAAAGAACAAATCATGTAGCCACATCCAAGCTCTCCATTGTATTCCGTGCTTTCCCTGAGATGCGGAGGTCTTCATAATCCAGTCGACCACCAGATGAAAGGAAAAGAGAGAGAGAGTGAGCAGCCTTGTCTAACACCGATTTTCACTTGGAATGAGTCTGTCAGCTGTCCTCCATGCACGGCTTTGCAGTGTAGTCCGTCGTATGAATTTCTCATGATGTTGACGGTTTTCTCAGGTACACCATAGTGTTAGAGAAGGTTCCTCTATCCACACTGTCAAATACTTTCTCAAAGTCAACGAAGTTGGTGTATAGTGACGAATTCCATTCAATTGATTGTTCAACGATGATCCGTAGTGTTGCGATTCGGTCTGTACACAACCGATCCTTAGTGAATCCGGTCTGTTGATCTCGAAGTCGGGCGCCTACTGAACCTTTCATCTGGCTCAACAACACTGTTGAGAGCTTTTCCTAGTACCGATAGTAGTGCATCTGATTTCAGTGCTCCAGCTGGTTTAGTCAGGTTGCTGCTTTCCCACTCTTCATTTGTCTAATAGCCATCCATCGTTGGTGGAGTGATATCTATAGGAATGTCTGTGTGTGCTGCTTCAATGTCCAGTGGGTTCAGCGAGACTGGTCTGTTCAAGAGTTCTTCAAAGTCCTCTACGCAATTGTCCGGTTGTTCTTAAATTCCAGTGATTGGCTTGCCTTCTTTGTCTTTGAATAATCTCTCTGGTTTACAATATTTCTCTGTGAGCCTCTTCATTGTTTTATATAAACGTTTCATATTTCCTTCTCTTGCAGCTTTTCCCTCTGTCATTACTAGTTCTTCGATGTGTTTCTGCTTGTCAGCTCTAATGCTCTTCTTCGCTTGCTTGTTTGCTTCTGTTTATTCAGCTTGTGCCTTGACTTTCTCTGTTCTTGTTTGGCTGCTGTTAATTGCTGTCTTCTCGTTCTTCCCTTCTTGAATCTTGACGACGGTTTCGATGGAGGCCCATTCGTCGTGATGATGTTCCTTGGA